CCCCCCCCCCCCCCCCCCCCCCCCCGCAAAGGCCAGCACAACCAGCATTTTTCTTCCACAGGAAACAAAATAGGAAATTTCTTTCCTGGCTCAGACTTGGCGGCAGTCTCATTAGAGGACAATGCTGTGCCCAGATGGTAGAGCCAGGACTGGTCTTGGAGACTCTTGGCTGAGGCAGCTGTGGATCTGCTTTGAGCTTCGTGGCTGCTTCTGTTCTGCTGTCCACACAGACATGCTGGCCATCAGCAAAGCAGTGCCAGTCGTGTTTTGCCCGTCCTCTCATAGCTGTAGTATCGGCTGCGGGAAGATGCAGCCCTCTGTATAGTTCACACTGCTTCCCAGGCAGCAGGCAGAAACCATGGGAAAGCTGTGACGAGGGGGTCTGTCCTTCCCTCCTCTAGTCCGTTTTGGCTCTCTGGTCCTAAGTTCTTCCACTTTGTAAATGCTGACTGGGGTCTTCAACCTGCTTCCTGTTTTTGAATTGTAATGATCCTGTTTTCAGCTAGGACATGATCCCACAGCTCCCAGGGCCCAATACCCATCAAGTCACCATCAGCTTATGTCCATGAAATGTGTTGAGAGGAGGAGACTGAATGTAGATTGAGGTCTCAGGGTACGATGAGTGTACAGGTGGCATAATAGTGTGTGTGAGATACGTGCATGATAGATAATGTGACAGAAGTAAATAATATTTAAGGTTTTCCTGTTGGTTTCTTTAATAGAACACCTGTCCCCAGGACTCTTCCTTGGAGATCCTGAATTCATTCATAGAAAGATGAGGAGCCAAGAGGTGGACAGGGGGGTGAAAGCCAGGCTTAGGGTGGCAGGTGGAGGTGAAAGCACTGCCCTCCAGGGCTCTGGAAGCATGGGGTCCACATGGGGAGGTCAGGTGGCTCAGACAGCGGTACCACCTCAGAGGGGGCATCCTGTTTGAGTCAGAAGTGGGGTGTGCAGGTACTGTGATCTGATCCAGGTGTCAGACTACTATTAGAGGCACCCTTGACCTGTGACAGAGGCGGTCATGGCTTCTGGGGACATCTGACTGGAGAGAGGGGGCCAGGCAAGGCTGCAGGAGACACAGGAGAGAGGTTTGCTTTATACCTTGTGCAGGCAGGCTTTAGGCCTTCCTTGTACTGCACTGCCTAGTCATTTAGTACATAGTAATCAGCAAAGGAAAATGGTTCACGATCTAGCTTCCAGTACTGTGCATTAGGGTGCTCGGGGTCTGGGGAGTGCTGTGTATTGGTTGATTGGGAGGGTAGTGACTTGTAATCAGCAGCAAGTAAGCTGCTGCTGCCTTTGTCATTCTGAAGTTTCGTCAATATTTCTCTAAAAGTTTGTGAGTGGTTCTCTTTATATGAAGGACCTATTCACTTGAATCTGACTCAAGATACCTGGTTCTCAGGTTATAGCAGAAAAGCTAATTGAGAGTGGCTTTCGAAGTCTTAGTCTGTCTTATGCTAAGAAGTTCCTTTTGGTGCTGGAGAGATTTGGTGCTGGTTCAGGGGTTCAGAGTGGGTGCTGCTCTTGCAGACACCCCAAGTACCCACCTCAGGCAGCTCAGAGCCGCCTATAGCTGCAGCTCCAGAGGATCTGACACCTTCTTCTGGACTCTGAGGGTGTCTGCACTCACACATGCGCACACACACACACATGCTTTAAAAATAATAAAAAATATTTTTAAAAAATTGTCTTTTGTAGTATGTCCTTTCCAGTTTGACTTGTCTCACATTATATGTAGTACCTTTTTGTTTGTTTGTTTTTCGAGACAGGATTTCTCTATGTAGCCCTTGGCTGTCCTGGAACTTTATAAAGGAGGCTGGCCTTGAACTCAGAGATCTGCCTAACTCTGCTTCCCGAATGCTGGGGTTAAAGGTATGTGCCACCACTGCCTGGCACATGTAATACCTTTAAAAGCGTGACTTATGTATGTATGAGATATGTGGAATGTTAAAGAAGGCTTCATAACACTTTTAGCTTCTAGTTGCAGTGAATCTTGTCTTTCTACTTGCCCCTTACTTGCATTGTAAGTATTTGTGCGCTTTAGTGTAGGTGTGCGGAAAGGTGTGCCGTGATGTCCTCAGAGGTCAGGACACAGGCTATAGGAATTGGTTCTTGACATCTCCACATGGCTCTGCTCTGGGGGTAAACTCAAGACAGACTTGGTGGCAGGCACTCAACTTATGGGCCGCCTCACGGCTATTGCTTCACATTTCATAGAATGCTCATTTTGATTCACTAGATTGACTCCATGACTGTTAGTTTGGAAAATATTGTTCAGCCAAACTTGACTGTCCTGGTGGGGTGGCAGGAAGAGTGTCCCCTCCTGTCCACGATGCCTTAGCAACAGCAGGAAGTGGAGGAGGACAGCTTCCACCTTCCTGCCCTCCAGGTGTGGGTATGGTGGAGGCACTCAGCTTGTCCACTCAATTCTCTCCTCAGAGCTCTATGAACCTGCCTCCTGACAAGGCCCGGCTCCTGCGACAATATGACAATGAGAAGAAGTGGGATCTGATATGTGATCAGGTATGATGTCGGCAAGATCAGGGAGGTGGCAGTCCTGTCTGCCGGATGACACAGTAAGGCCAGAGGTATAATGCCATGCTGGCAGGAGCCAGCCTTGACTTGGCACAGGGTAACCTGACTTGGTTTCTAGGGGCAGCCTGGCCAAGACAGCTGGTAGCCTGAGTCCCCATGAGGAGCTGCCCAGTGGACAGTGATGTCATGATGGTTTGGGCAGGGTCAGCTGTGGACAAGGTGGGCAGTTTTCCCAGAAGAGTTTGTTCAGGACTGTGGCTGTGCCTGCCTGCTGAAGGACTCTCTTACTCTGGCCCAGGCATGACAAATAGTGGGGTGCTTCTCCTGTCGGCCACAGACTTCTAGAAGGGAGATGCCCTTGTCCCGTTGGCTCCTGCTCTCAAATATCAGTGGAGTCAAGGACTGCAGCTGTCCTTGCATGATGGTGTTCAGAGCTGAGCAAAAGGAGAAAGTGTTTCTTTGCTGAGAACCCAGACATTACAACACTCACTGCCTGACTCTTTCCTCAGCATGTGCTTGGAGGTCACAGATCACAAGTCTTTGGATGCAGAGCTTAGCGTGGTTTTGGTGGACCTGGAAGGACCTGGCACAGTGTGAGGGCATTGTGTTTACATAGCACTCAGTCGCCGAGCTTTGTCATGAACGAATCTGTTCTTTCTTTCCAGGCTCTGAGCAAAACCACACATACTGAAATATCTCATTTAATCTGACCAAAAGCTCTGAGTAAGGTGCTTTCATTCAAAGAACCCACAGCCAGATTGGGCCAAGACAAACAGGTGCCAGGTCTTTCTTGGCTGTTTTCTTCTTCCATGTCCTGTGCTTTCTCTGAGCCTGCATTATGATTCTGAGGTCCAAGCTTTCACCAGAAAAGGCTTATTTCCGTAGACTCCGTGTTAAGTGTTGGATTTGGAGAACAGCCCTTTGGTGCTGAAGTTCTTTACTCTATAAGTTCTGTCTCTTTTAGATCACATGATTTCAGTTTTTCTCGGAGTCTTTTTTGTTGTTGTTGTTGTTGTTGTTTTTAGGTCCTATTTCCTAACTTGTCATTCTCCTGGACCTCTTTACACATCTCTTCTCCTGAGCTCTTCACATAGCTTCTTTGTGGAGGCCTTTAGAGGACCAGAATGCTGAGGGGTTTGCTGAGTTTCCTCTTGGGTCAGCCTGAGGAGAGCAGGCATAGACCTGTGCTCTGTGTGGAAGGGTATTGAAAGCAGCCTTCAGCGTTTGGTTGCCAAGGTCCAGTTCCTGGGCAAAGAGCAGACAGTGTACTTGCCCTGAGTGTAAGTAACACATCGAACTCAGCTGAGCCCCTGCTGCAGAGGTTAGAACTACAACAACTAGGTTCTTTGGGGCAAAGCTCTCCTAACTCTCCGTCATTCAGCCAATCACATAGCCACCTTAGATACTAGTCACAGCTCTGTAGTCTCTTCAAGTGGCTCTGAACCACTTCTGACAGAGAAAAGCACCTTAGGCATTAGGAAGCACTAGCTGGAGGAGATCACAGCCACAGGTGGGAAGTGTCTAGGATGGGTCAAGGAAGGGAGCTGGGGTTTGGGTAACACTAAGGGACAGGTGGCAACTGGAGGCCGGCTTCCCTCAGATTGGACACTGTAGGCACTCTTCCTTAGCACCCTCCACGGACTGTGTGTTTCTGTGTGTGTTCATGTGCACTTTCTTTCCCTACAGGAACGATTTCAGGTGAAGAATCCTCCTCACACCTATATCCAGAAACTCCAGAGTTTCCTGGACCCCAATGTCACACGGAAGGTGAAGTATAAGATGGAAAGGCCCTGTCTTGTTGCCCTTCATAGGCCTGTGGGTTTGGGCACAGACCTTTTGGCTTGGGGCTAAGTATTCTGCCGTTGATTTTTGAGTACTGGGAATTGACTATCTGGCCTTTGAGGCCTAAAGTGACTATCCAGTGCTGGAGGGAAGGTCTGCAATTATATGTGTACTCCCTGTGCTTTCTTTCTGCCTCTTTTCTTTGTACTATAAAATTGGATGTCTGGGTATGGTAGTCTGTGCCTGTGATCCCCAGTGCTTAGAAGACTGTGAATCCAGGCCAACCTGGACTCCATAGCTTGGTGCTACATATCCTCTTCCCCAAGAAATAGACAGACAGACAACGCTGATGGAAGAAGGGAGGTTAGAGAAGTGACTCAGCAGTGAAGAGAACTTACTGTCTTCCCAGATCAACTCCAGGTCAAGGGAGTGCAGCAGTCTCTTCTGGCCGCTGTGGGCAGTGCCTGCATGCGGGACATAGATATCGACATCGACATACATACAGGCAGAACATTCATACTCAAAAAATATAAATCAAGTCTTTTTTTAAAAAGAAAGAAAAATGGGTGTGGTGATTGTGGTGATACACACCTTCAATCCCTGCACTTGAGAGGCAGTCAAGGGGATCTCTGAGTTTGAGGCCAGCCTGGTCTACAGAGTGAGTTCTAGGACAGCCAGGGCTACACAGAGAAACCCTGGCTCAAAAAAAAAGAAAAAAAAAAAAAGAAAAGAAAAGAAATAATGAAAACAGAAAAAGAAAAGAAAGATGGTTGCCAGAGAGTGTCTATCAAGTGACAAGTGACAAAAGATTCCATGTTTACAGAAGTTCAGGAGAAGAGTACAAGAGTCAACTAAGGTCCTGAGGGAGCTGGAGATCTCACTTCGCACCAATCACATTGGGTAAGTCAGGTCTGCATCAGCTGCTCTCCCTGGTGCCAGGCATTGCCTACCACACAGATTTCAGTGCCCTTCATCAGTTTGTCTTTCTTGCCATGAAGCGAGGCTGTCCCTTGAATAGCATCTGCCTCTACAGAGCTTTATATGTGCCATTTCTGGCTTCTCTGCCCTTCCGCTCTGCCAGATGCTGACCAGTTACTTCTGGCAAGCTTGTGGCCTCTCTTGGGGTTCTGTGGCTTTGAGTAGAAGACATTCCCACAGCAGCTGAGACCAGAGTCTGCCTGTGGTCTGGTGCTGGGCCAAGAGAGGCCAGCAAAGGCTGGGATGTGAGGACTTGTTACATTGAATAGATGAATCGCTCCTGGTTGGTGACTAGTTAGACACTTTGGTGAACAGGTTAGTTACTTGTCTGAGGGAAAATAATCCTGATACAGCAGCAGAAGAGGCTTCCTAAAGCACCAAAGAAAGATGCAAGATAGAGGGGATGAGGTACTGGGTGGCTCTTGTCCTCACAGAGCCCCTGGCTGTCAGTGCATTGAGAGGCCTCCCAGGATCTGTGTGAGCCTCTCAGACTGCGAGGGGGAAGCTCAGGGCTGATGCAGGCAGGTTCAGGGAGAACACAGTGCCTTTGTCCTGTGAGGATGTTCCAGCAAGAGGGAGAAAGACAGTTGAAGAGAGCAACGTAGAAGGTCTGCGTATACCTGTGCAGGAAGGACAGTGAGTAGCACTGCGGCACTCCAGTAGGGGCACCTCGGCAAGGGCGCCATAAAGGGGGGAGGGGGGGCTCGAATGTGGGGTTTCTGGGCAGCCGCCAGCCTAAGTCCCTGAGCTTCCTGAGAATAAGGTGGAAAGAGCCAAGTGACATCATCAGCTTTTCCTCTTCTGTCAAGACAGCAGCCTGCTTGTCTACCTCCGTCCTGATGTGCCCGGAGCTCTTTAGGGGAGAGGATATCTGTAGGTAGCCAGCTGCAACAGCAGTCCAAAGGGAAGCAGCATGGGAGAGGACAGGAAAGGGACAGTTCCTGGTGTTGGGAGCTGTGCCGTGGTAGCCAAAGCACGTGGGCATGTGTGTGCTTAAGAGTGACACTGTGGTAGTCCTGAGTGCCAACCAGTACCCGCACTTCTCCGTGGGGCCTCTCCCAGGCCTTGCTGTCTTCTCCAAGTCCTGCTGTAATTTGGTGTGAGGATGAGCGTCTGCTCTCCTTAGGAGAGGACCACAGAGTAACAGTCCCCTGTGATTAGCATCATTCCCAGGCTCTGGGGCTTGTTGGCACTGGCTCACAAGTTGGAGGTCCAGACCCAGCCCCTGGCTCCCAGGGACCAGCTAAGTAAGCCCTTGTCATCTCATCTGAGACTCCTCTGGTAGTTCCATGAGGAAGATAGGATCCTTTTCTTCAGGAAGTTTGTCAGGCTAGTCCGGGATCCTGGGGGAAGGAGGCCAGGACAAAGTGAGAAGAAGGTCCTGCTTTGGTTTCAGCCTGATAGGTCCTGTAGGAGTGAGTCTGCCAGCAATGATGGGGACTCTGGGGCGAGGCTGCCTGAAAGTAGGATTCCAGAGCCCTCTAGCTCTTCTGGTTTGTATTGGTTTTTCTGCCTCATCAAAGTGGCCTTTAACCTCTCCTCAAAGTGTCAGGATCCCGAAAATAGCAGTGTAGACTCAGACAGGAAATGAGAAGGGGGTGGGGAGCTGGAGAGCAGACAGACAGGAAATGGGAGGCCTGTCGGCCCCCAGAGAGGAAGCTAACTTCAGGCAGCTCCAGTGTCCGCTTCAGCTGGAGCTTGCTGCCAAGTCAGCCAAGCCGGCACTCCAGCTCCAGCCTCTCTCAGCTCCGGGTGTGGCTGGCCAAAATGGAGCTGGTGTTCCAGCATGGGGGGAGCACGGCCCTACGGGGCGGTGTGGTCACACCTGGTTCTTGCAGCCCCGTGGACATTCCAGGGTGAATAGAATTCTCAGGAGAACAGGGGTTTTATCCTGAGTGGTTTGTCCCTGCAGTGAAAGGAGCCTGTCATACAACAGCCCTCAGCCCCCTCCCACTAATTCTGAGGGGATTTGCTCTTCACTTTTGTTCCAGAGTTAGCATAGTCCAAACAAAAGAAAAGTAAAAATGCCCTAGGTCATTGTCCTTCTGTCGTCCCACCTACTTGCCTTCCCACATTCTCCTAAGGCTGTGCGAGTCAGGACACCCAACTGTTCCCCAGTCTTTTCGAGTTCTACTAGACTCACTCCAGTTGAACACAGAACTCTCACAACCATCTTTGCCCATTGCTTCTCAAGACTGAACTTAGTAGAGAACCCTTTGGCCTAGTAAGGCTTTCTCTGACTGATTTATGGGTTTGCAGACTTTCTCAGGCACAGCTCTGTGAGTGGTGAGCGCTCTGGATGCCTCCCAGTTCTTGGAGCACACAGTGGGAAAGGGCTTCGTACCTTGCATCTTAGCAGAGCAAAGGGACTTAGGACATAATCAGGTTATAGCCTGGCCTGAGAGAAGAGACTGGCTGCAGTCTTGTCTGGCTGCAGTTCATTTGTGGTAGAGTGAGTGACGTTGGAAGGTGCATTGCCATCCCTGGCACCCCTGCCTGTGGGACATCCAGGCGTGATCATAAATGGATCCATTGTAGACTTTGGTTTTCAGGATTTTCACATCGTGAAAGTGGGTTCCAGTAGGATACAGGAGAGCATGTTTGCGGAGGGCTAGGTTGCTGGGTCAGTGCCCTCCGCCAGAGCGAACCAGCGTACAGACTCCATCCTCTGTGTTTCCTGTATCTGCAGGTGGGTGAGGGAATTTCTCAACGATGACAACAAAGGCCTGGATGTGCTGGTGGACTACCTGTCATTTGCCCAGTGTTCTGTCATGTAAGTACCAGGGCTGAGGCTGGGGAGCACACAGCCCCAGTCTATTCAGAGGAAGAGCGAGGGCTGGGAACGTGGAGCAGCAGAGCATTGCCTGCCGTGTGCTGAGGCTGAGGGTTCAGTCTGGAGTATGGGAGGAAACGGGGAATGGGAAAGGAAAAGGAAGAGTGAGATTCCAGCAGAGAAGATGGGAATGGGTATCTCAAGGCAGGAGGAAGTAGCTCAGGTGTTGCTGTAGGAGTGAGCAGGCAGGACAAGGAAACCTCAGGAACTGGCAAGGATTGGCTAGTTGGTTGGAGTGGAAGGTGTGTTTTGAGGTAGAAGGAAGAGAACAGTATCGAAAGGGAACTTGGAATCTAAGTGCCAAACTACAGGCTGACCAAGGAAATATCCTGGCTTCTTAGGGAGACACCTTGGTAGGGTTTAATAATCTCTATAAAACTGAGTCTTCATGGGGCAACTTGGACCCTGAGATGTGAGCATTAGGATAGGCCTGTTGTTGAGAAGTGCAATGAGCATGACCTTTGACTTGAGCACATAGAGAAAGCATTTGGAAGCATTTTCCAGATGTCCTTTTCACATGGAGGCAGTTAGCCGTGGGTTAGCACAGAAGAGACAGCATGGCGAGGTGCAGTAAATGAGAGCTTTGAGTTAAACAAAGTTGGTTTGGGGCTTAGCTGTGTTGTGCACTATCTGTGGAACCTCAAGCACCTTTGTCCTCCCGACTGAGAGGATTAGGTGGGAAGCTGTGTATCACAGTTAGCATTTAGAATGTGCCAGGCCTCCTCTGTGGTGACTGCTTTGTTGTTAATTCATTACCCAGGTGACATGCCCGCCTGTAGTCTGACATCTAGAAAGGAGGCTGACTGTGACAGTTAATGCAGTTACCACATGTGCAGGCTTACACCCTAGACAAGTCAGCCTAGGGAGCACAGGTCCCAATTTTGCTCTCAACTTGCCATGGTTCCTGAGCACTGAAAGTTCCTGAACACTGGAGACTCCCCAGGCTTGAGCCTTGGACCTAGCTTGCACTTTTGCTTTTCTGCTGTCCTATGGTCTTCAGCGGTTTCCTCAAGGACACACACAAAGAACTCTCCAAGGTTCGGCTTCCCCGTTTCAGCCTTCCCAGCTCACCCTGTTTAAACCTGGAGTAGGCCGCTCTCTATCCTTGTCTGTGGAAGTCATGCTTTATGATCCTCCTGTCCCTTTAAATAATCTTTTTTTTTTTTTTTAAAAAAGAAATGGAAAAAAAAATTGCTTAAGTGAATTTTTAGTTCAGAACTTTTATAGTAAAAAGATGTAGATCATTTCCCCAAATATGTCTATCTTTCTTGAAAAAACAAATCCTATTGCTTCAAACCAAGACTACATTGGACATTTAATTCCTTGGTGTCCAGGGAAGTGCCTTTGAAAGTATAGAGTCCCGGGAGCAAGAGAGAATGTTTCCGGAAGTCTTGAGAGGACAGGGGTGAGAGCACATAGTTAATGTGAAGGCATGCATTTGTAGATGGTGCCTCCAGTGCCCAGGAATGCCGTAGTGGGAGGGCGGAAGTCCCCAGAGAGCTGTGTCCCTGTCGGGATCTTTCCTCTGAGGTTGGCTGGATTGCCCTGTTAGGCACCCGTGTGGGTGTTCCTCGTTCCACAAAGTCCCAGCCTTTCACCGTGGGCAGTCACACTGGGCAAGATGTCCTGTGGGAAAAGCCTTGGGGAGATGTGCCCAAGTTCTTAGAGGCTAGAGGGACACAGGAGAGGAGGGCCTGGCGGACTGCTTCTTGGGGTGTGCACTCCTGTGGCGAATGTAAGAGAGTCCCTGAATGCTGTCCTCTCTGCCAGTCATAGAAAGGCTATAAAGAGGGCTAGGCCTGAGGGACACCTCAGGCTCACTGGGACACCTCCTATTAGCAAATGAGCCCAGCAGAAGGCCCTTGACTCACTCCTCAGCACTGAGAAGCTAAACTAGCCAGACCACAGAAGCCAGGCCGGGCGGGACAGTGGTGTAGTTGCTGAGCCCAAAGGACCACCTTTGGCTTTTTGGGGACCTCATTTTTTTTTCTTTCAGACATATCCAGCTCTCAGTGACCTAGGGTGCCCTGAGTCTTACTCACTGCCATTGGCTGTTGAACTGCCATTGGCTCATTCCCCTCCTTTCTCTTTGGTACAGATTTTTAAAGTAGAGTCACGGTTACTTGAGGTGTCCCATTTGAGTCTAGGAGCACAGGAAGCCTGCCAGCCCCACAGCCCTCGGACCATTGAGAAGTCTCAGATCCATCCCCCCACCCCCCCAACGCTGTCTTGACCTTCTCTGCCCTGTGTTACCTTGGTAGCTCCAACCGACATCAGGTCTCTGATGCCTAATTCTGTTTTCTCTTCTTGCTGCCCTTGCTCTTTGTTGCTATAGAAGTCTGAAGCGTGGGGGTGGGCTTGCTGAGGCTTGGCACAGAATTTCGCCTGTATGTGCCTGTGTGTGCGCATGTGTGTCCTTTCGTGCTCCAGGTTTGACTTTGAGGGTCTGGAGAGTGGTGATGACGGTGCATTTGACAAGCTCCGGTCCTGGAGCAGGTCAATCGAAGACCTGCAACCACCCAACGCCCTGTCGGCCCCCTTCACCAACAGCCTCGCTCGCTCTGCGCGCCAGTCCGTGCTCCGGTATGTGTGCGCTTTCTCTGCCCACCTGCCTCCCAGCCCAGCCCCAGCCCAGGTCTTGGTAACCTGGTGGGCACTCATGCTCCTCCCTCCGCTCTTGCTTCCAGGCTCAGCTCTCTTGCCTTCTGCCTGCTCGCCTGTCTCTGATCTGTCCTCTTTGTCTCCCTGACTGCCCAGCGGTCTGTCCTGGGTAAGTACGAGGCGCTCAGCTGTGCTGCCCCACCTGATGTTCCAGCTTTCCGCTTCCTCTAGTCCTTGCTCTCTCAGCCATTCCTTCCCAACCTTGGCCAGGGCTTATGCTGTGCTGGCCAAGTCAGCTCCTTCCCTCATGACCATTTCCCTCTTAGCTCTCACTCTTCCCATTTGCTGCTTAAAGATCAGCCCCAGCTACCCGCTGGCTCCTTTTTCTTCTCTTTTCCCTTCAGGTCTTTTCTCTACAAAGTTGTTGTGCCTCCATTTGTGTGTGGTTTCTCGAGCAGTACAGTGGGTGGACTGGCTCACTTCTCAGAGCTCCTTTTACTCAAGAGGTTGTCCTTGCAGATCCATAGCCTTTCCTCTGACCTGTGTCTGTTTCATGGCTCTGCTTCTCTCCTTGGATTTTGTGTCATGGACACTGCTCACCATTTTGGTCTTAGAGGAGCAGATTCTGTATGTTTCCTCTTCTCACAAAGCATTAAGGTAGTAGAGGGATGATACAAAGCCAGGCCTGGCCCCTCACCTGTGTAGGTCTGCTCTGCCTGGGGTGGGGGTGGGGGGCTTGAGAATGAGATGAGAACAAAGATACACCTTCCCCACTGAATATGCCAAAGATGTGCTAACTAAGAGGGAGTGCACCTCCCTCAAGAACTACAGAGCCCTCAAGACAATTCTGCATTTCAGAGGTCTCTGGTGTTAGCACAGTTTTGGGGTCCTGGGCAGTTGCTGACAAAGGCCTGTCCCTAAGAGGTAAATGGCTGACTTCCCTGTCTTCTGTACCCTGTCTGTCTTGGCATTCGGTACAAGGTCCTCTTCTTTCCAATTCTGCTGCTTCTATGGGACAGATCAATGGCCTGACCTTTGATAGCAGCCTTGTTCTGCCTGATCACTTGGCCCTGTCCCCCAGGTACAGTACTCTCCCTGGCCGCAGGGCCCTGAAGAACTCTCGCCTGGTGAGCCAGAAGGATGATGTCCATGTCTGCATCCTCTGTCTCAGAGCCATCATGAACTACCAGGTAAGGGCTGCTGTTTGCGATGGATATGCTGCTCCTTCCGCCTCATCTGCCAAACCAGGACAGCAGAGCTCCAACCTGTGGAAGACAGGTTTGCTGGTGGGAAACCTGCTGGCTTCCCCTTTCCCACCAAGGCCCCTTCCTCCCCTTTCCTTTGCAGTATGGCTTCAACTTGGTCATGTCCCACCCCCACGCTGTCAATGAGATCGCACTTAGCCTCAACAACAAGAATCCGAGGTGTGTTGCGTCCTTCCTCACTATGCCCAGGTGTCTGAAGAGCCTGGCTTGTCTTTGACAAGTCTTGCATGCTTTGGGCTCCTTTAGCCAGGGTCTCCTCAGCTGGAGGAGAAGTGTCCTGGCTTCACTCTTAAGCCTCACAGCCTAACGAGGGAGCAAGTGTCCCCTTTCTGTCTTCTTCCTAAAGGGCTTGAACAGGTCTTGAATGTTAATCTTCCTTCAATCTCTTAGGACCAAAGCCCTAGTCTTGGAACTGCTGGCAGCTGTGTGTTTGGTGCGGGGAGGTCATGAAATCATCCTTGCTGCCTTTGACAATTTCAAAGAGGTTGGTCTCCCTCGCGCGCGCGCGTGTGTGTGTGTGTGTGTGTGTGTGTGTGTGTGTGTATGTGTGTAAAAGATCGGAGCTGGGTAGATCGACTTTCCTGGGTTCTCTAGTGACTTTAACTGTGCTTGACTGAACAGCCTACTTCAGAATGAGACAACAACTAAAGCAAAACCAGAACTTTTAGAGCTTGTTCCAGGACACCTCCCACTTGGCCAGTTAATGATCCTTTGGGATCAGAGTCACCAAAGGATCTTGTTGAAAATGCCAACAGGGGTTGGAGAGAAGGCTCAGTAGTTAAGGGCCCTTGCTGATCTCCCAGAGACCCTAGGTTCAGTTCCTAGTATCTAAATAGGGGCTCAGAACTGTGTTCACTTCCAGTCCCAGAGGATCTGGTGCCCCCTGCTGGCCTCCACGGGCACAGCACACACATTCATATACACCCTTGCAGGCACAGGCTTTTTTTCTTCTTTTTAGGCACAGGCTCTACTCCTGATCACTGGAGTGGAGCCTGTGCATCCTCACTGTATGGCTCTCCAGGTGGTTCTGCTGCTGTGAGCCCTCAGGTGGACTCCAAAGTAAGTGTACTCTCAGGGAAGAAGGCTGGCAGGAAGGGAAAGAGAACTCCTGTGTGGAGATTTCCCATCTTCAGGTCTACCTCTGAAACCCCAATTTGCTTGAACATGGGATTCCTCAACATCCAGCCATAGCTGTGGTCCCACCCCTTCCTCCTCTCTGGGCCTCTTCCCTAGCATCCATTGTTTGGTTCAGGAAACAGCTCTTCCTCCTTAAAAGTTTAGGAACTCAAAGGAGCCCCTGGACACTTTTCAGCAGAGGGCTTTCCTGCACACTGGCTCCTCCTCTCTCTCTGTGGAGCCCCCAGCCTGCTGCTGTGGCCATGGCTTAATGCCTTCCCCCCCCTTTGTAATTTGACAGCTGCCTGGCTTTCTGGCCAAACTTTAGAGGCACCTAAATCCTAGGCTATGCTAAAGCCAAATTCCAGTTTCTGGGCCTTCTTTTGGTGTCCAAAATGGCATGGTTCCTAGATAGAGTTATGGTTAACTTTTTTTTGTTGTTATTTCTATTTTATTTACATATTTATTTTGATATCTTTTGGTTGGTTGGTTGGTTGGTTTTTGTTTTTTAAGACAGATGTTTACTTTATAGTACAAGCTGGCCTTAAACTGTGGCAGCCTCCAGAAGGTTAGCTAGGATGTTAGCCACCATGCTCTTCTGATTGTGGCTAAACTTGGTCTGATGCCTTTGCCATCATGTTCCTGGGAACAAGAGTTTGGGGATTTAGATTCTGTATGGTAGAGATCCATCTTTTGAGAATGTTTGCACCTCCAGGTGTGCAAAGAAGTGCATCGGTTTGAGAAGCTAATGGAGTATTTCCGGAACGAAGACAGCAACATTGACTTCATGGTGAGGACCTGGGTGGGGGCAGGTGCATGCCTTGCCCACAGGAGCTTTGTGCTGCTCAAGCCAGGGCCACAACGAGTGTTTTAAAGGTCTGCCTCTTTCCCCCAGGTGGCCTGCATGCAGTTCATCAACATTGTAGTGCACTCGGTAGAGGACATGAACTTCCGGGTCCACCTGCAGTATGAGTTTACCAAGCTGGGGCTGGAGGAATTCCTGCAGGTGAGCTGCCTGTGGTCGTGGAAAGTTGAAGTGTTTCCAGGTAGAGAACCAACTCAGATGCAGCACAAAGAGGTTTTTAAATATGTAATAATACTCGTTTGAGAAGAAGTAAGAATGTAGTCCTAGGGAGATCTGGAGCCTGCCTGTCTTCTTTGGCCTGGGACCAGGCTCTTCTGCCAATGGCTGTCTTCCCTGTGAAGCAGCCGTCTCGGGACCAGCTGGGCATGGGCAGCAGCTGGAAGACCCTGGTTGCATGCTCTAGGAGGCAGTTGTGAAGCCATGCTGGGGTACTGAGATTTTCCAGGAGGCCTGTGCTGACTCCTGCACCTGCTGCTCTCTGCTTTCCCTAGAAGTCAAGGCACACAGAGAGTGAGAAGCTGCAGGTGCAGATTCAGGCATACCTGGACAACGTGTTTGATGTGGGCGGTTTGCTGGAGGATGCTGAAACCAAGAACGTGGCCCTGGAGAAGGTGGAGGAGCTGGAGGAGCACGTGTCACACGTGAGTGTCTTCTTGCTAGGGCCACTGTGGATGGCTGGGCAGGCACTGCCAGGTGCCAGGAATCCTGAGCTGACTACCTGCTTCCAGATTGAACCTCTCTATACCACACTCTGATCCAAGCCACTGGCCGCTGCTTGCTGGAATGTGCTGACCTCTATGGCTGGGTTTGGCCTTAAACTTGGGATAGAGTGCTGCCATTTGCCTGTGTTGGGGCTCCTTGCCCTGAGTCATATAAGGAAGCCACCTGAAAAAGGCTGCCTTTTCAGCACAGCATTTTGGGTCCTGGTTTGGCTTCAAGTTATGTTGTGTGTACAGCTCTGAACATGCCTTCCCTGTTTTGTAGCTTACAGAGAAGCTTCTGGACCTGGAGAATGAAAATATGATGCGGGTGGCAGAACTGGAGAAGCAGCTGCTACAGCGGGAAAAGGAGCTGGAAAGCATCAAGGTGCCAGTGAAGGGAGGGGGCCGTGGGGAGGCCTCGGCTGACCCAGCTTCCGTGCCATGGGCTTCCTGTTTCTCCCCAAATCATGTCACGGGAAGATACTGACTTATCCTTGGGGGCTGTCTGACAAGGGTGACCTGGTGAGCCACCCCCACTGCACCCCCCCCTCCTCCTTTTTTTTTTTTTTTGAGACAGGGTTTCTCTGTGTAGCTGTTCTAGAACTCACTCTGGAGCCCAGACTGGTCTGGAACTCAGAGATCCTCCTGCCCCTGCCTCCCAAATGCTGGGATTAAAGGTGTGCCCCAGCACCCAGCTTCCTCCCTTTTTATCTTGAGAGGGAATTTTGAAGCTAGAGTTGGCCAGACCTAGAAGGGAGCAGGAGCAGGCACTGTGCTCACGGTCCCCTGAGTCCAGGGCAGGTTATCTTCTTTCTGCCCACTTGCTGGCCTTTTCTCCATATGCTGCTCAATTCCTTTTACTGAGGATGGTTAGAGTAGCCCATCTGTCTATCACACTGTCTTTGCAGGGCAGTGCTTCTCATATTTCCAGCTCTGTGTTCTTTCTCTAACTTTAGTTAGGGAGCCACGCCATAGCCTCCTTTTTCCTGAGGAAGAATATGGTTATGGGGACTCCTGAACTGAGCTCAGCCTGTGTCTTGTCATCCCTGCTAAGCACTAGATAGGAGCCAGGGAGGGTAGAGAGCTCATCACGACAAGACCTATCCATGAGGCATCCACCTGAGCACTTATCCAGGAAATAAAAGCAGCAACAAAGACCTAAGGTCTGAGGAGAGATCAGCAGAACCCATCTGGCTGGGGACCAATGGGAGTTTCCAAGGGGCATCCTTTTCCTTCAGCCTTGAGGGGCCTATGCACTGAGAACAGACTTGAGCAGAGAAGGACATGTCAGAATACCAGTGGAAGCAAGCTTTCTCTTCCCTCCTCTGCTCTACTGCACTTCAGCTTTGCTGTTTTTCATAGCCTCTCCTTGCTACTCTTTTGGGGAAAAGGGTGGTTCTTTTTCCCTTTAACTCCTTTTATCCCCGTTTTCGCCCCCCTAGATAGGAGAGAAACAAGGATAGAGGGGCCAGAGGAAATACGAAAGTCCCTGAATCTAATTTGTTTCTTCTTTGATCATGGCTGTATCAACCAATCTCTCTAAACGATCAACATCCCCACACCTGGGAGTAAAACAAAAGTGCATTCTTATATTTTTGTGGGGTTTTTGTTTATTTGTTTTTTCTAAGAGTTTCTCTGTGTAGTCTTGGCTCTCCTGGACTCACTTTGTAGACCAGGCTGGCCTTAAAATCACAGAGATCCACCTGCCTCTGCCTCCCAGAGTGCTGGGATCACAGGCCTAGCTATTTCTGTGTTTTTTAAAGAAACCAAATTCCAGAATTCTCATATAGTTCCTCACCTGGTTTTTCTATTTTGAGCACCCTCACTGAGATGAGCCTTCTTGAGAGTCTGGTGGGCACGGTTGGGACTCTGACTCCCAGGGGAACCGAGGGTAACAGCGCCTTCAGCCCATTCTCCCCTCACTGTTGCCGTCTGCCTGCTAGGAGACATATGAGAACACAAGCAACCAGGTGCACACTCTTCGGAGGCTCATTAAGGAAAAGGAGGAGGCCTTCCAACGCCGATGCCACCTGGAGCCAAGTGCCCGGGGCCTGGAGTCCATGGGTGGTAGTGAGGCCCTGGCCAGGGTAGGCCCTACAGAGTGGAGTGAAGGCACCCCACCCTCTGATCTGGACCTGCAGGCTTCAGCCCCTCCTACTGAGGAGACCCTTCCTCTGCCTCCTCCGCCAGCTCCGCCTTTGCCCCCACCCCCTCCTCCACTACCAGGTAACCAGGACTTCCAAGCTGGGAGGGGCAGGTTTTTGTGAGGCCAGGACCCTAAGTAGTCAGCAGAGTCTTTCTTGGGAAACAGCATCATTTAAGGGCTGGAGAACATCAAGTCAGAAAGTGAGGGCTAGGGGATGGCCAGTATTTGGGTGAACAGAAGAAGGAAGGTGGGGAGCAGGTTCTGCTTCCAGGATTTCTGTGGTGCTGCTCTAAAGTTCTCTGAAGGCAACCAAGCAGAGGGTTAGACTGTGGCAAGAGAACTTCCATCAGGGATGAGCTAAAATTGTCCCTTCAGTGCACTTCCAGGACTAGTTTGACCTGAGTTTCCATAGTTTTCCTCTCTGGATCTCTTGAAGGAGAGGAGAGGCAGGCAGAGTTTGGGCAGTCTTGGATCACTATGGCATCTTTTCTTCCCAGACAAGTGTCCCCCTGCCCCACCTCTCCCTGGTGCTGCTCCTTCTGTGGTGTTGACAGTGGGTCTGTCAGGTGAGTGTCCTCAGGGCTCTGGGAAATGCTGGTAGAGTGTTTGCTCGGCCCTTAACCTAACACCTGGCCTCCTTCCAAATCCCAGCCATTCGGATCAAGAAACCTATCAAGACCAAGTTCCGGCTGCCAGTCTTCAATTGGACAGCACTGAAGCCCAATCAGATCAATGGCACTGTGTTCAGTGAACTTGATGATGAAAAGATCTTGGAGGTGACAGGGGCCTGGGGACCAAGATGCCCTTAGAGCCGTATCTTCTGGTCTTAGAAAAGCGTTCTTCAGGCCGAGCAGGATTGACACTGTATCAACTCTAGGAACCATGAGTGGGACCTTAGAGGCAGATGGTCGGTCTGTGGGTGTTGTCATTGTTCGGACCTTCAACATTGTCCCCTCTTATCCACTTCTGCCAGGACTTAGACCTGGACAAGTTTGAAGAGTTATTTAAGACAAAAGCCCAGGGTCCTGCCCTTGACCTCATCTGCTCCAAGAATAAGACAGCACAAAAGGCTGCCAGCAAGGTGACCCTTTTGGAAGCCAATCGTGCCAAGAACCTGGCTATCACCCTTCGCAAGGCTGGGCGCTCAGCTGAGGAGATCTGCAGGGCCATCCACACGTGAGGCTCCCACTAACTTGGCCCTGGTCCCCAGACAGCTGTTATCCTAGTTCTCCCCACAGCAGCTGGGTTTCCCTAGATTCCATGGCTCTCAGTCATCCACTGGCCTGAACAGAGCACGTGGACTCTATGCTGAGTGTCAGGCTCAGTGAGGAGCTGTACGTTCAGCTCAGGAAACTGTGGTAGGATTAGTATCGACAGGGTACCACTTGTTAGCAGAGAACAGAGACAGGAGAGCCAGGCCATCGGGACAGATGAAGCACTGGTGCTTTGCCTCTGGCCATGTCCTGTGTATTGCTCTCCATCCTTCTGAGGATGAGAGGGAGTGGACAGATGTCGGACCTGAAGTGCTGTGCTGTTCTTCCCACACAGGTTTGACTTACAGACACTACCTGTAGACTTCGTGGAGTGCCTGATGCGCTTCCTGCCCACAGAGGCTGAGGTGAAGCTGCTCCGGCAGTATGAGCGTGAACGGCAGCCCCTGGAGGAGCTGGCCGCTGAGGACCGCTTCATGTTGCTCTTCAGCAAGGTGGAACGGCTGACCCAGCGAATGGCGGGCATGGCCTTTCTGGGCAATTTCCAAGATAACCTGCAGATGCTCACACCGGTATGGTCTCTTCCCCTCTTCGCTATCCTCTTCTATCGTTAGTGGCTCCCACTGTCCTTCCTTCTGGCCCCGCCCCTGGACTTTAACCTCCCAGCCCGGGTATCAGAGTGTTTGTCTTGTCTTTCAGCAACTGAATGCCATCATTGCAGCCTCTGCCTCCGTCAAGTCCTCACAGAAACTGAAGCAGATGCTGGAGGTTGGGAAAGTGGGGTGACTGGGTGCTGGTGGGTCCTGGCACTACTCCACAGGGGACGAAGTCCTTGGGCCTTGTCGTGACCCACCTTCCATGCATCTTCTGCACAGATCATCCTTGCTTTAGGGAACTACATGAACAGCAGCAAGCGAGGTGCTGTGTATGGCTTCAAGCTCCAGAGCCTGGACCTGGTAAGCTGGCGTGGGCAGCGGGTGCAGGAAGCCGGGAACACCGGTGTCAGAGCCAGGGTGCTTAGCTCTGCGCTGCCACCCCTCCCTTCCAGCTGCTGGACACGAAGTCCACTGACCGGAAGATGACGCTGCTGCACTTCATCGCCCTGACGGTGAAGGAGAAGTACCCAGAGCTCGCTAACTTCTGGCATGAGCTGCACTTTGTGGAGAAGGCTGCAGCAGGTGAGGGGCTCCCGGCCTCCAGCCCGGGACAATCCCAGGAAGCTGAGCAAGAGGAACACCTGCGCCCATTTCTGGCTTTTGTTATCTTCTTTCTTACTACTTCAAAGCTTTCCGCTAAAGCCATGAGCAGGGGCCGCTCCAGAGGGAGCCTTCCCTGAGACTGGCCCAGCGATTGCAATTCTCTGTCACGTATGTGATGTGATTAGGAAACCTGTGAAGCTCCCTACAGCCATGCAGACAGTACTGCTATTTCTATCTGCCCGTGAAAAAAACCACAGCAGACCCCAGGCAGCTCCAGCTTGCAGACCAGCTGTCTCTGGTTTTCCTTCCTTTGCTGTCTTGCTCTTTGGGGCCATGAACTCTGAGCCCCCATTCCTTCCCACTGCCTGAGAGAGCCCAACCTGCTTGACATGGGAGCATCATTGTTGGTCTGTGCCATGGGGAGGATAGATTTGCTGTTGTCCTGGGCAACCCTCAGTCAGGCCTCTTGATACACAGTGTCCCTGGAGAACGTGCTGCTGGACGTCAAGGAGCTGGGCCGGGGAATGGACCTGATTCGGCGGGAATGCAGTATTCATGACCACAGCGTCCTTCGGAACTTCCTCAGCACCAACGAAGGCAAACTGGACAAGCTGCAGCGTGATGCCAAGACTGCCGAGGTGAGTAAAGACCTGGGGGAGGGGCCAGAGCCAACACACTGGGCCACTTCAGGTAGATGTCCAACTACAGTTCTACGTTAGGCATGTGGTCGGCAGCACAGGGACAGTGGGGCAGTAACGGAGAACCTTAAAGATGTCTGGAGTTATGACTGGGGAGGGGCTTGGGTAGCTGGTTTTCCTCCCCTGGCTCTAAGCTTTGTTCTCTGTGGGCCTTCTGTCTACATGTGAGCGCTGAGCTCCCTGCTGGGATGACCCTCTGTCTGCCCCTCACCCAGGAGGCCTACAACGCAGTTGTGTGCTACTTTGGCGAGAGTCCCAAGACCACACCCCCTTCTGTGTTTTTCCCAGTATTTGTCCGGTTCATCCGTTCTTACAAGGTAAGTGGAGGAAACGCTTCTGGAGGAGTTTGGCTGGGAGAACATGATTAGTGGAGAGAGCCCGGGCTTCACTGGGTCTCTTCCAGTTCCTGAGGCCTAGGGGAGGAACCATGGAAGTTGGCCACAGGCCTCTTAACTGGGAACTGGTGGGCAGGGTGGGGGCCAGGCCCTTCCTTCCATTGTTTGTAGCGGGAAGTGCCCCTCCAGAGGGTGGCCACCTGGGGTCAGCTGGTCCGGCTGCCACCCACTCTCCACACTAGGTGCCAGCCCCTCCCTTCTCAGCCTGTGAGAGCCTCAGGCTCCCCTGTCTTGGTTCTCTCCAAGGAAGCAGAACAAGAGAATGAAGCTCGAAAGAAGCAAGAGGAGGTGATGCGGGAGAAGCAGCTGGCTCAGGAAGCCAAGAAGCTAGATGCCAAGGTGGGTGGGGCCAAGAGCTGGTCCGGAGGGCAGGACAAAGAAAGATTCAGGGAGCCAGAGAGGACAGGGAAACCAAGACACACACCCCTCCCTCCGAGTGCCTGAAGGCAAGAGTGCAGAGGGAGAGGCAGACACAGATGGACAGGTCACAGGACTTCTCTCAGCATCTTGGGACAGGAACCAGTTACTTGTCAGGTTAGTGATGACTTCCTTCCACTTCTACTATTTGGCCCTAGACTCCATCTCAGCGGAACAAATGGCAACAGCAGGAGCTAATTGCCGAGTTGAGGCGGCGACAGGCTAAGGATCACCGGCCTGTTTACGAGGGGAAGGATGGCACCATCGAGGACATCATCACAGGTGCGACATTGGCCCTTTGGGCCCAGCTCCCAGCGCCTGACCTAAGCCCCTTGGGCCCTTCTTTCCAGTCTGTTTCCCATAAACCTGATCACTTGTCTCTCCTGGGCCATAGTGTTGAAGAGTGTCCCTTTCACGGCCCGTACTGCCAAACGAGGCTCACGCTTCTTCTGTGATGCAGCCCACCATGATGAGTCAAACTGTTAGCCCTCGAGGCTGGGGCCCCCGACAGGTACCGGGCACCACAGCTGCCCTCTGCATGCCTTGAATCAAGTAGCAGCCTCCCAATGACGGAGACACAAATCTGCTGCATGCTGCATGCTCTGAGAAACAACTTATCCCCTGCATGTGTCCTCCCTCCTTCTGTCCTAGCTACTAAGAAAGATCCATGGACTAACGAGTCTCTGGGCCAGGGTTGGGAGCTGTGCCAAAGCAGGCGAGACCAGACCTACTGGTTCAGATTACTGAGGCTCCATTCATGGACCCAAGGTATCCTGGGTTCTGGCCTCCCCTAGAGCGCTCCTAAGAACTCTAGCAGGAGCTGTTACTCAGGGACTGGTGTCCCCTGACCCCTGCTTCTTGGTATCTGGGGTCCTATGCTACCCTCTGAAAATAGCTCTAGCAGTTGTTCTAGCTGGTCCTCACACCTCCCTCCAAGATCCTCCTGATCCTCTTCTGTCCTCCTGACTCCCTGTCGGCTCACATGCATCTGTCTTCCCCACAGGCTTCAACCACCAGCCCATGGTCATTCGCAACCAAGCCAGGAGCGCTGCACCGCCCAGTGGCCCTCCTCGGGCTCCAGGTCCTCACTGACGTCCTCTTGGAGGCAGAAGGGCTTTAGTTCTCAGACAGTGGACCCAAAGCCCAGGGCCCAGCAGGAGGCTGTGCTGCTCCAACTCTGAGGCAGAATCGTCCCTGTGCCACTTTGGGCACTAGGTCTGTAGGGGCCTGGCACTTCTCTGGTGCGCGTCCCCCCCTTCCCCCCCCCCATCGTGCACTTTGTTCCCTCAGTCTTGAACATCATTTCCTGAAGGATCAGTCAGGGCTGGGAAAAGGGCACAGGAGGGCACATGGCCCTCTTCTGCCAGAGTCTTGTGGGATAAGAGGAGAATGCTGTACTCCTTTTTTTCCCTTTTTGCAGTCCCACATCAGCTCTGGTCTAGAGAATCCAGGTTTATGGATCCCTGGACTCTGCCAATATCAGATCATCTCACAGAGTGAAGGCTTTCTTTGCCTCTGCCCACTCTGCTGAGCCCAGTAACGGGGGAGAGGAGCAGTGCCAGGCCACTGGCCTTCTTGGATGTGCTACCTGGGTCTCTCCTAGACCTGTGGTCCTACCTTGGCATCCAGCTTCTTGGCTTTCCTGAGCCAGCTGCTTCTCCTGCATTGCTTCTTGCTCCACTTCCTTACAACCAAAGGGTTGTAGGGGAAGATTTGAGGCTTTCAAAGGTGGGAAGGGAGGGGCTGACACTGAGCATGGCAGTGGGACCACCCTCTGGAGGGGCACTTCCCGCTACAAACAATGAAAGGAAGGGCCTGGGCCCCGCCCTGCACACTGTCTTCCCACTGACTGAAGACAGAGGCACTGTCTGCACCGGCTCCAGGACTGTTGGAGGAAGAATGTGCCGACAGCCTCACCTTCCTCATCTAGGTGCACTCTGGCCGGGAAAGGACAACATAGAGGCTCTTCCGAGACCATTTGCTCAGTTCCCTTCTAGGTTTCTCTGACCCAGGAAGGGAACTCAGGGGCAGTTTGTTTTGTACATGTACCATTTCCTTTCTCTCTTGTACATAAACCCTAGACCTCTCAACAAAGTCTTGCGCACCAGGCTGTTCTCTTTCTCAATTTGGGTGGGGTAGCGTTTGCCTGCATTTCAGGAGTGATGAGCCTAGAGGGCAGGGGAAGTCTGGCTGAGCAACCTTCAACTACAGAGGCAGAGAGGATGTCAGAACAGTAGCACCCTCTGCTGGTCCCAGTGGGTAGTACATGAAGAGGACAAAAGAGTTGTAGATCATGTTATAAATATTATTTAAAAAACAAAAACAGAACACATACGTCAGGGCCCAGGGACAGAGGAAGCAATGGTGGCGCCCCAGGGCCAGGTCAGGCAAGAGCAGGCACTGATGCTAAAGGGTGAGGACCCTGCCCTCTGCCACCCAGGCTGTGTCCACCAGCCTGTCTCTTTCCTGGAGACCCCCCCTCTCACACTTTACCTACTGGCATCACCCACCCCATGTGGTATGGACTGCCCATCACCGGGCTGGGGCTGAGAGCAGGACTGCACTAGTTGTCTGAGAACTAGGGGACCCTTGAACACCGAGAGCAGCCTTGCGAGGTGCTAACAGCAGTGTTTTGGGTGGGTTGCTTTAGGAAAAGTAGACACAGACCAGACAGACGAAGAGTCTGAGGCAGATGGTGAGGACCCTGGAGCCCCTGCCTCACGAAGTCCCAAGGCAGAGCGCGTAGCTCGGCGGGTCATTGGTGGTCGTCCAGCTGCTGTAGGAGCGTCCGCCTTCGCCTCTCCAGCTCCCCCTCACTCAGCTCACTTTCGGATGTGTCCCAGCCTGTCTGTTGAGCAAAGGTGGGGCTTACCTGAGCCCCCTGGACAGTGTGTCACAGGCTGGGCGGAAGCCAGGTCCTCCCATTCACCTTCTCCTTCTTGATCCCGAAGCCTGGGGAGCGGTTAGGGAGTTCCGCCTGCCGGAGCTCCCTGTCCTTATCCTGCTCTTGCTCTTTATCTTCAGTCTCCTTGCCAGCTTTCTCTTCAGGGTCTGTCTCACTGTTGGGACTGTTCTGTAAGGGGTCAGGGCCCATGTCAGCAGCTGAGAGCACAGCTGGGAGGCAGGTGCGATGACCCCACAAATCCAGAGCTCCTCTACTCACCGACTTGTGTCTTCTTTTCTTAGTTTTCTTTTTTGGTTTCTTGACTTTCCGAAGACCGTGATCTGCAGATCAACAACACATCCCCACTGAGTCCCACTGGGAGAAAAGGCTTATCCTCTTCTCTGTGTATTCCCTGCAGGTGCTCTTGGTCTGAGGAAGGCTCAATCTGCCTTTCCTTTACCCAGCTCCTCACCTGGGCAAGGAGAGGAAGGCTTGCTCCACAGTGAAGCCTTCCCATCCTGGCCAACCCTCAGAGGGGTCTGGGACCTGCTCTGCCTCTACTTCGCACCTATCACTCCGGCTCCCAGGCTCCTAGCAACTGCTTACCTGACCCAAAGAGAAGGTGGGAGGATGGGGAGCCTGGTCCTCCAAGGGCAGCACCCCCACTTTCAACCGAATCAAGTGAAGATGAGGGCTCAGAGCCAGACTCTGAGGGGTTCCGTCGCCTCCGCTTGGGGGGCCGGAGGGATGGCGGAGGCAGCTCCTCTTCATCGGACTCAGAGCCCTGGACAGATGAGTAGACAGTGGTCGGCCCGGAGGGTCTGTCTTCCAGAGGCCCTCATCTGGGGACTGGGGATGGGGACTCCAAAGCCAAGGACAGTGATGTACAGGGGAAAGATGTGTTCAGTCTATCTGGAGCAGTTCAGCCTCACCCACGTCCCTCTACCTGCTGACTCACTGAGGGCGAGTGAGAACGCTTGCGATGGTGTTTCTTGCCCTTCCTGCCATGCTTTCGGCCTTTGGTGTGGAGGTGCTGGCATTCAGTCTGCTGGAGGCAGAGGGAGAGAGGTGAGAACATTGCCTTCCTGTCTCAGCTATAGCCTTCTCCCTGTTCTAGGGCACCCTCGGGCCTCCCCCCTTCCTTGGCTGGCCAGGTAAAGAGCCTTCATGGTAATAAGGCAATGAAGGTCTCACTCAGGCCTGGGCCTTCAAAGGTGCAAAGCAGAGGAGCCCAGTACCTTACCTCCAGCACCTGCAGGAACTCCCGAAAGAGCCGGATCCGCTCCGACTCCAGGGTGATCTGCTCAAAGGCTGAGTCGCACACAAAGCGCTCACGGACCTTGAACGAGGAGAGCACTGCTGATCAGACCAGGCCCTGCCTGGCCCAGCTTGGACACCGCCACGAGAACTGGGCAGGGCTAGGGCAGAGGAAGGAAGGGAACTGGAGCTGGCCCAGGGCTTGTGCTGTGACTGGGGTGGGCCCTCAGTGGTGGAGAAGCTCCGCTGCCCTCAGGCTTGAGGGTGATTGGGGCCAGGCTGTGCTCCTGACCTCTTCCCAGGCAGTGCCCAGCTCCAGAGCAGGCACGGCCTGCCTCAGCATGCTTCGAAAGGCAGCCTCTCTGCGCCGCATCCTTCGGGCCTCCTCCTTTTCCCGTTCCCTCTCCCGTGCCTCTGCTTTCTCCAGCAGCTGAGGGCAAAGGGAAACAGAACAGGGTCAGGCATACCTTAAGAGATAGGAAGGAGGGGTCTGGACTTCTGCCATTATTCCCCAAACCCAAGATTAAGTCAGCAGGGTAGTGAAAAGGAACAAGACACTGGGATAAGTGAGAACCACCCAGCCCTGCCCATCCCCTCACACTATTGAAGGTCAGCTTGATGTTGCCTGCGTCCAGCGCAGCAGCCCTCTTGTCAAAGCTTATGACGTGGGCGAAGTCCTCAAAGGCTGTGTTCACCTCCACACAGAAGCCCCGGTCCTGTGGGCACAGCAGTGCGTGAAGGCCAGGGGCACCACAGGCCGAAGACCCAAGGCCAATAGGCAGAGGGTCAGGCTGCAAGGTGTTCAAGACTCTGCCCTCCACTGGGATCCACAAGACTTGTGACACACCTTAGAAACCATGCTAAGTCCTCATCTGACAGGCCCCATTTCCCACTGTGTGGGTTCGTGTGGAGCCAAGGAGTCAGGAAGTATCTCTGCTCTTGATAGATGACTGAGGTTTTACAACTAGGTCTTCGCTCCTCTGGCCACAGCTGGGCCTTCCTGCTGCTCGTGGAAGCTGCCAAGCATTCCTAACATCTGGTCTGTGCCTCTTGTACCGAGTGCTTACTATGTAATAGGTCCTCTGCTGAGCGCCCGGCATACTTCTTCTTTAATCCTCCCTGCCATATTAGGCCAGTCTCTAATTTTATGCAGGTAAGAAAAAATGAAATCTCTTGTTCTACTGTTAATCCCAAGCCGTGATTTCAAGCACCATACCCACCCTGACTGCACAGTGGCTCTCCAGCAGTATTAAAACTGTGTCCATTGTCTTAAGGACATGGCCAGGCTCTCTATTTGTCATCAGAAAGACCTCCATGTCCCAGTGAAGTCAGAGTGCAGAGAGTAACCTCACTTGGCCGCGCTGACACGAGAGGGAAATGGGAAAGAGTGTCACAGGCCAGCTTTCCTGTCCTTCCACACAGCTGGCTTCCCTCAGTCTTCCTGCTTGATGACAGAAGTATACTCTCGCTTTTCCCCATAGTCCTTTCTCAGTCAAGGCTCCAGCCCTTCCCAAAACATCCTCTCTCGGCGAGTTAAGACCCAGCCAGAGGACTTTGCTATAGAACTCCGTCTCCCCCCGAGGTAAGTCACAGAGACTGAAGTGCACCGTCCTGCCTCAGTGCTGGATTGTAAGCATCCCACTTGACTGGGTGCTGAGGGTCAGGCTTAGGTCCTTAGGCTTGTGTGGCAAGTGCTCCTCTCCCTAGGCAAGGCTGAACTACATCCTCCTCGCTCTCCTCCCCAGGAACACACAGCTCGCTTCACTTACAGTATCCCCCATCCTGCTTTTAGCTTCTCGAGCTAGCTAACTGCTTCTTTTTCTCACTTTCAATTCCTCGGACACAGCACAAGGGAAAGAAATATTTATCAATATCCCGTTAAAAGCAAGACACTTGACAAAAATTTTTTAAAATCTAAATGTTATTTATTTCTTA